GTACACCTACACACATATACGTAGCGAGAGAGCGAGCGAGAGAGAGAGGGAGAGAGAGCGAAGTAGAAGGAAGGAGCGAGAGAGATACACGCGCGCGATGGCGGAGATGCTGCGGTGCCTGGTGCCGCACCTCGACAAGCACCTTGTGCTGGGCCTGCTGTACTTCCACGACGACCAGGGCCTCGACGTCGCCGACGCCATCCGCGCGGTGCAGGCCACAACGGCGCTCACGCCGGAGGGCGAGGTCGCGCCGGAGCAGGAGCGCAAGATCCGCGAGTGCGCCCAACGCGCCCGCCCCGCGCTCGACGAGTTCTTCGAGAGGAACGAGGCGGAGAACAGCACGTACCAGTTCAAGCTCACCGCGAGCGAGGTGGACGCGCTGCGCAGTAACCGCGAGCTGTCGCGTGACGTGCTGGAGGGCAAAGGCATCACACGCGACGTGATGGGGGCCATCATGGAGCTCGCCTACCTGCACTACGACGCCGCCCGCTACACGGATGCGTCGGAGCTGCTCTCGCTGTGCCACTGCGTCGCCGGCTACGAGCTCGAGCAGGGCGCGTTGCTGTGGGGCAAGCTGGTCAGCGACACGTGCACGTGCAACTGGCCCTCCGCCATCGCGGTGGCGGAGAAGCTGCGGCGCCAGCAGAACGCCGACGTCTTCGAGGAGGACATCTTCCGCGTCGCGAGCACCACAACCACGACGGAGCGTGTGTGGCTGCTGCACTGGGTGCTGTTCCCCTTCTTCAAGGGCGGCAACCAGTACTCCGCGCACCTGCTCAACTTCGTCTTTGACTTCAAGACGAACTTCGTGTACCAGAGCGTCGTGGAGACGGTGTGCCCGCACTACCTGCGCTACATCTGCGCCGCCGCGATCCTCAACAAGCAGCGCCGTTCTGCCCTGCGCAGCGCAGCGGCGATGGTCGCTAACGTCTACGAGTACTCGGACCCGCTCACGCGGCTCGTGCACGCCATCGTCAACCGTCAGTCGTTCGAAGATGCGCTTGCGCTTCTGCCGGAGGCGCGCGCGACGGCGCTCAGCGACTACTTCCTCAACCTGCACGCGAACGGCATAGTGGAGAACGCGAAGCGGCTCATCTTCGCCCGCTACATGACAACGCACTGCGTCGTGTCGATCCCGTACATGGCGGAGAAGCTAGACATGACCCCCGCTGACGCGGAGGTGTGGCTCGCCAACCTCATCAGCGAGACGAAGCAGCGGGCGAAGATCGACTCGGTGGCGGAGCAGATGGTGGTGGGCTCGCAGGTGCGCTCCGTGCACCAGACGGTGCTGGACCGACTGGAGGTTGTGGACCGCCGGTAAGCGCGGGCCGAAGCGGCAGGAGGAGGAGGAGGGAAGGGGAGGACGCAAGAAGGCAAGCACGCCACAAAAACAACAACAAGACAAAAAGAAAAACAAAAAAAAAAGGAGAACAAAGAGGAAAAAAAAACAACCAGAAACAAAGAGGTCGGAAGCAAACAACAGAGCAGAGGAAGAAGGAAGAGGAGAAGTTATAATGGAGGACGGAAGCAGCGACGTGGTCTGCAGGGCAATGGGTGAAAGAGTGGGATGGGAGGGGAAGGACCGGACAGCAGAAGTTGGAGCACGCCATGATATGGTGTGGGGGACGGCCCTCTCACTTCCTCTTCTTTCCCTCTTCTTCTTCTTTCTGTTGTGGTTTCCTTCCACAGCGGTGTAACGGAGGCGAGGCCTCTTTCTAAGAGTCACTAATATGCGCACAGGCCGACTGCCTTCTCTGGGCATGCGTCTCTCTCTCGCTCAGTGTGTGTGCGTGTGTGCACAACGGACTTCTGTTGCTTACGACTCGTCCCTCCCATTGTTCTCTTTCTTTCTTTCCAACTCCTTTCTTCACGCCGTCGTCGCCATTGTTTTAACTTTCTACCATTCCATCTGGCTGCGGGGTGGAGGGAGGGACAAGCTGAGTGGCTCACTCATCGTCAAGCGACACGTAAGGCGGGGCAACCGGTGCGCGACCAGGCGATCGCCACCACTGATAGTAGAAGTGCCAGTGATAGCGACCGCAGCGGGGTATTAGAGATGCCACTCTCCAAGGCGCCACGGCGGCCGTCCACGGTGGGGATGTGCCGCGCTTGCAGGCAGTCCTCGCAGCAGGAGCGTTGGGCTGAGGCGCTGGGGCCGTACATGGAGCCGCTGCCGCCGCGCAGGGCAGCGACAGCAACAGCAGAACGTGCACGTGCGGTCAAGGCGTCGCGGCGGCAAGTGCCGCCGAGCACGACAAAAGGGGCAGAGATTCCCGCGGCCAACGGCGAGGGCGCTATAAGTCAACTTACAGACGACGAGCGAAGTATATGCAACCTGATGGTAGGCGTACTGCAGCACAAGTCGTCACTGGAGGCCCGGCGCATCGTAGCGGAGGTGAGCGAAGCCGCGCAGTCCCGCCGCCTGCTCGCGTCGTACAGTGGCGTGTACGCGAACGCCTGCAGCGATGACGACAACGAGGCCGCGAGGAACGGCGAATCGGGGAGCGGGCGGACGCAGCTGATCCGCCACCTGCAGAAGCGTCGCGAGGAAGAGGAGCGTGCCTCAGAAGAGGAGAGGAAACAGCAGAAGCACATCAATGACGCCGAAGAGAGGGAGCAGCGGGCGCGGTGGCGCAACATGTTCGGCGGCGGAGGCGGCCGTGCAAACGGGAGCGGCACTCCTGCTTCTCGGCGAAAGAAAGGGCGATCAAATGGCGCGCGCAAGCTGGTATCAGACACGGACGAGGAGCACGCACACCCACAACAGCAACAGGAACAACAACAGCAGCAGCAACAGGAACAACAACAGCAGCAGCAACAGGAACAACAACAGCAGCAGCAACAGGAACAACAACAGCAGCAACAACAGGACAGTCGAAAATGTGGGGAGGATAATGCGGCGCTGCGTTCGTCTGCAGGGACGGGTATACCCCCGAATGTCCCGCGGCGCATGAAGGCGGTGCGCCACGTCGCCTCCTTCGACGAGCAGTGCGCCGACCGCTACGGCGGTGCAGCGGCGTCTAAGGAGAGTCTGTCGAGCGCGTCACTCGTGCGCCTCACGCAGACCAGCGTGGGGGATGACTCTGTGCGCCAGTCACCGTCAGTGCGCTCGCCCGGTGCTGGTGATGAGGAGGGCAGCCGCTCACAGGGGCTTCTTAGCGACGCTGACGAGGCGCCGTCCGCGCTGATGGCCACGCGGTGTCCTACTGCTGCTGGCGATGCTCGTGAGACGTCGGAGGCGGCGCTCAGCGGCTTCCCCCCAGTGCCGCGGCCGCCGCGTCTGCCAGATGCAAGTAATCACCCCCTCCCGCCGCCGGTAGTGCCGATTATTGTGGAAGCGAAGCCGCCCTCACCGCCATCACCAACTGGATCACCATCTTTGTCTGCGGTTTCTAACAGCAGCGTGAGCAGCGTCGAGGAGGAGTTGAACGGTGAAGGCGAGAGTGAGAAGGAGAATGGGAAATCGGACACGGTGGTGGACACGGAGGGTGCGGCAGCGGCAGCACCGACAAAATTCCCGTGGGAGTTGGATGATGAAAAACTGCCATGGGAGTTGTAGAATCTTCTATAATAGAGTGAATACGGCTGTGGATGATGCAGTCGTGTTGTACCGCTAGTATCGTGGACTTTATTCCCTGTATTCCTGCGGGAGAGGACGTACCCCTCAGAAAACAGGATGGTGCCCAGTCACGCGGGATAACAAACATCAATATTACAGGCAACACAGAATAGCCACGAGTGCGAATATATCTATCTATCTATCTATCTATATATATATATATATATATATATA